TGTCGTGAACGTATGGAATGGCTGAAATTGTGTTTACCGTGTGAATAGTTCAAATGTTTGATGAGAATATTGTACGAAATGTAGCTGGTGGTGTTTATTGTTTGGTATCAGTGTCAGATGTTTATGGTATTTGAATGATACAAGAAGTTGTGTGCAAAGTATAATGTGTATGTATGGTAATGTAGTATTAGTGGTATATATAGCACTAGTCGTGTGATTTTCATAACTCTGGTGTCTCCTCATTTGCGGATAAATCTTTCGCCTTTTACTAAAGATTTCCGTGGGGAGGCACAATACAATGAGTCTTAACTCATTTTTTCCAACTCCGTCCTTGCACGGAGTATTATCAAACAATATAGATAACATACTGTGACCATGCATGCGCTAAATTTGCCAACCAACTACTACTACTACTACTGATTAACTAACTTACTAACGGTCAATCAAATCATCCACTCTTATATCAACTATCTCATTATTAATAATAACACATACACACTCTTCAATCAACAAATAATCGCCATCATCATCTCATCATACACACTAACTAAGCTTACACAATCAACCCAACCATCACCTCATCTGATAACACTTACAATACAGATTAACTAGAATCCACTCATTAATCACTCACTCCTATCACCTATACTTGTTCCTGTTGATGTGTGTCGATCTGCATCTATGAGTGTCTGAAATAAATTGACTATTGATTGGCATATGAATCGGGTGTAAATGGTCGGATAGAAACGGTGTGGGTAAATTTTGATGAGTAACTCTATATCCTACTGAAATACAGTAAGTACATCAGCGACAGTGTGTATGTCGTGAACGTATGGAATGGCTGAAATTGTGTTTACCGTGTGAATAGTTCAAATGTTTGATGAGAATATTGTACGAAATGTAGCTGGTGGTGTTTATTGTTTGGTATCAGTGTCAGATGTTTATGGTATTTGAATGATACAAGAAGTTGTGTGCAAAGTATAATGTGTATGTATGGTAATGTAGTATTAGTGGTATATATAGCACTAGTCGTGTGATTTTCATAACTCTGGTGTCTCCTCATTTGCGGATAAATCTTTCGCCTTTTACTAAAGATTTCCGTGGGGAGGCACAATACAATGAGTCTTAACTCATTTTTTCCAACTCCGTCCTTGCACGGAGTATTATCAAACAATATAGATAACATACTGTGACCATGCATGCGCTAAATTTGCCAACCAACTACTACTACTACTACTGATTAACTAACTTACTAACGGTCAATCAAATCATCCACTCTTATATCAACTATCTCATTATTAATAATAACACATACACACTCTTCAATCAACAAATAATCGCCATCATCATCTCATCATACACACTAACTAAGCTTACACAATCAACCCAACCATCACCTCATCTGATAACACTTACAATACAGATTAACTAGAATCCACTCATTAATCACTCACTCCTATCACCTATACTTGTTCCTGTTGATGTGTGTCGATCTGCATCTATGAGTGTCTGAAATAAATTGACTATTGATTGGCATATGAATCGGGTGTAAATGGTCGGATAGAAACGGTGTGGGTAAATTTTGATGAGTAACTCTATATCCTACTGAAATACAGTAAGTACATCAGCGACAGTGTGTATGTCGTGAACGTATGGAATGGCTGAAATTGTGTTTACCGTGTGAATAGTTCAAATGTTTGATGAGAATATTGTACGAAATGTAGCTGGTGGTGTTTATTGTTTGGTATCAGTGTCAGATGTTTATGGTATTTGAATGATACAAGAAGTTGTGTGCAAAGTATAATGTGTATGTATGGTAATGTAGTATTAGTGGTATATATAGCACTAGTCGTGTGATTTTCATAACTCTGGTGTCTCCTCATTTGCGGATAAATCTTTCGCCTTTTACTAAAGATTTCCGTGGGGAGGCACAATACAATGAGTCTTAACTCATTTTTTCCAACTCCGTCCTTGCACGGAGTATTATCAAACAATATAGATAACATACTGTGACCATGCATGCGCTAAATTTGCCAACCAACTACTACTACTACTACTGATTAACTAACTTACTAACGGTCAATCAAATCATCCACTCTTATATCAACTATCTCATTATTAATAATAACACATACACACTCTTCAATCAACAAATAATCGCCATCATCATCTCATCATACACACTAACTAAGCTTACACAATCAACCCAACCATCACCTCATCTGATAACACTTACAATACAGATTAACTAGAATCCACTCATTAATCACTCACTCCTATCACCTATACTTGTTCCTGTTGATGTGTGTCGATCTGCATCTATGAGTGTCTGAAATAAATTGACTATTGATTGGCATATGAATCGGGTGTAAATGGTCGGATAGAAACGGTGTGGGTAAATTTTGATGAGTAACTCTATATCCTACTGAAATACAGTAAGTACATCAGCGACAGTGTGTATGTCGTGAACGTATGGAATGGCTGAAATTGTGTTTACCGTGTGAATAGTTCAAATGTTTGATGAGAATATTGTACGAAATGTAGCTGGTGGTGTTTATTGTTTGGTATCAGTGTCAGATGTTTATGGTATTTGAATGATACAAGAAGTTGTGTGCAAAGTATAATGTGTATGTATGGTAATGTAGTATTAGTGGTATATATAGCACTAGTCGTGTGATTTTCATAACTCTGGTGTCTCCTCATTTGCGGATAAATCTTTCGCCTTTTACTAAAGATTTCCGTGGGGAGGCACAATACAATGAGTCTTAACTCATTTTTTCCAACTCCGTCCTTGCACGGAGTATTATCAAACAATATAGATAACATACTGTGACCATGCATGCGCTAAATTTGCCAACCAACTACTACTACTACTACTGATTAACTAACTTACTAACGGTCAATCAAATCATCCACTCTTATATCAACTATCTCATTATTAATAATAACACATACACACTCTTCAATCAACAAATAATCGCCATCATCATCTCATCATACACACTAACTAAGCTTACACAATCAACCCAACCATCACCTCATCTGATAACACTTACAATACAGATTAACTAGAATCCACTCATTAATCACTCACTCCTATCACCTATACTTGTTCCTGTTGATGTGTGTCGATCTGCATCTATGAGTGTCTGAAATAAATTGACTATTGATTGGCATATGAATCGGGTGTAAATGGTCGGATAGAAACGGTGTGGGTAAATTTTGATGAGTAACTCTATATCCTACTGAAATACAGTAAGTACATCAGCGACAGTGTGTATGTCGTGAACGTATGGAATGGCTGAAATTGTGTTTACCGTGTGAATAGTTCAAATGTTTGATGAGAATATTGTACGAAATGTAGCTGGTGGTGTTTATTGTTTGGTATCAGTGTCAGATGTTTATGGTATTTGAATGATACAAGAAGTTGTGTGCAAAGTATAATGTGTATGTATGGTAATGTAGTATTAGTGGTATATATAGCACTAGTCGTGTGATTTTCATAACTCTGGTGTCTCCTCATTTGCGGATAAATCTTTCGCCTTTTACTAAAGATTTCCGTGGGGAGGCACAATACAATGAGTCTTAACTCATTTTTTCCAACTCCGTCCTTGCACGGAGTATTATCAAACAATATAGATAACATACTGTGACCATGCATGCGCTAAATTTGCCAACCAACTACTACTACTACTACTGATTAACTAACTTACTAACGGTCAATCAAATCATCCACTCTTATATCAACCATCTCATTATTAATAATAACACATACACACTCTTCAATCAACAAATAATCGCCATCATCATCTCATCATACACACTAACTAAGCTTACACAATCAACCCAACCATCACCTCATCTGATAACACTTACAATACAGATTAACTAGAATCCACTCATTAATCACTCACTCCTATCACCTATACTTGTTCCTGTTGATGTGTGTCGATCTGCATCTATGAGTGTCTGAAATAAATTGACTATTGATTGGCATATGAATCGGGTGTAAATGGTCGGATAGAAACGGTGTGGGTAAATTTTGATGAGTAACTCTATATCCTACTGAAATACAGTAAGTACATCAGCGACAGTGTGTATGTCGTGAACGTATGGAATGGCTGAAATTGTGTTTACCGTGTGAATAGTTCAAATGTTTGATGAGAATATTGTACGAAATGTAGCTGGTGGTGTTTATTGTTTGGTATCAGTGTCAGATGTTTATGGTATTTGAATGATACAAGAAGTTGTGTGCAAAGTATAATGTGTATGTATGGTAATGTAGTATTAGTGGTATATATAGCACTAGTCGTGTGATTTTCATAACTCTGGTGTCTCCTCATTTGCGGATAAATCTTTCGCCTTTTACTAAAGATTTCCGTGGGGAGGCACAATACAATGAGTCTTAACTCATTTTTTCCAACTCCGTCCTTGCACGGAGTATTATCAAACAATATAGATAACATACTGTGACCATGCATGCGCTAAATTTGCCAACCAACTACTACTACTACTACTGATTAACTAACTTACTAACGGTCAATCAAATCATCCACTCTTATATCAACTATCTCATTATTAATAATAACACATACACACTCTTCAATCAACAAATAATCGCCATCATCATCTCATCATACACACTAACTAAGCTTACACAATCAACCCAACCATCACCTCATCTGATAACACTTACAATACAGATTAACTAGAATCCACTCATTAATCACTCACTCCTATCACCTATACTTGTTCCTGTTGATGTGTGTCGATCTGCATCTATGAGTGTCTGAAATAAATTGACTATTGATTGGCATGTGTTTCATCCCGTGTTTATAAACTGAGCACGTAGGTATTACTTCCTATTTCGTTACTAAAATCTGTTGGTATAAGGTTACCGATGAATGAAATTCAACGTTTTCTCCACATTATTCCGCTTGTGTTCAATAGCATATTGTTTGTATGAGTTAATTGTATAGGTACGTCAAAGACAAGAAATACCAAGGAGGTATATATATTTATTGTTTAAATGAGATTTACAAAGATCCATTAATTTATATTTACAGAGAAATTGAAGAGAATAGTACATGTGCTCATATTGTACCAAACTGTTTAAGTAATTTGGTCTTTGAAAGTGTTTGTATAGGTTGTTGATAACATTTCATTTGTCCGCTAGTCAATTTCAGTAATTTTCCACGTGAAACATTGATTAACTAAATTGAAAAGTGAACATTATGAACATACAATTAATGTAAGATCATAGGCAAATAAAATAGATAATTTACTTATAAAATCAAAGTATAGTACTAAGTGAGGTATGACAACTTGGAACGATGGATATATGTGCCTGGACCTACGTTGTAGCTGACTGACTGACTGACTGATAGTATTAAGTGAACGATTAATGATACCATCAAATGATTGTAAAATGAATTTGTGAAAGCATAGGAAGTACATATGACAATAGGAGACTAATCAATTGCAGTTCTAAACATCAATGGGAAGATTCAAGTAACCAATACAAAAATTGAATTAAACTTCACCCTATTACACAAGCTACCGGCTGCAAACATGCTCCACACTCTATTCAGGAAGATTCCGGAAGAAGAATAAATGCTGATGGATTGGAAAGAAGGATACCTCATCAATATACCAAAGAAAGAAAATTTGAACAAGTGTGAAAACTACAAAGGAATGACACTACTGTCAGTACCAGTAAAAGTTTTCAAGAGAGTGTTGCTAAACCGAATGAAAGACCACGTAGACGCCCAACTACGAGATCAACAGGCTGGATTCCGTAAGGATCGGTCGTGCATAGAACAAATTGCGACACAACGGATCATCGTTGAACAATCAACTGAATGGAACTAGTCACTATACATCAACTTCATTGACTATGAGAAAGAATTCGATAGTGTGAATAGAACATTAAGGAAACTTATTCGACATTGGAATACCTGAGAAAATCGTTAACATAAACCAGAACTTATGCAACGGATTACACCGCAAAGTGATGAATGGAGGACAGCTGACAGACGCATTCCAAGTAAGGACCGCATTCAGACAGTGCTACCTCTTCTGGTGGTTGACTGGATTATGAAGACCCCCACATCTGAGGGGAAGCATGGAATAAAATGGACAGATTGGATGCAACTAGACGATTCAGACTTTACAGATTATGTAGGTCTTCTATCCCATACACATCAACAAATGTAGGTCAAAACAAACAATGTAGCAACAGTTACTGCATCAGTAGGCCTTAACATACACAAGGGAAAAGGTAAGATCATTGAATACAACACAGGGAACAAGAATACAAACACAGTTGATGGAGAAACTCTGGAAGAGGTAGAAAGTTTCACGTATCTTAATAGGTAGACAAATCAAGGAAATAATACTATCTATGATCAATTTTAAGTACGCTTAATCCTACATTCAATGACAATCAAAGTTAAAATTGCCAGATATTGTTACTTTATTACTTTTTGTATATTCAACCAGAGCGTTTCTAAAGAATTACAAAATAATCCTTCATAGTATTCTCTCACATAAATGTAATAAAGTATCAATTTCGTAGACAACACCCACACCTCGAGAAGGCAGTGAGTAGGACATCCCTGACGCGTGGCCATGTGAAGCATTTCCAGAAGGAGAGCTGACTCTCCCCACCCTCGGCCGTATCAAGGCACTTGGGGGCCGAAAAGTGAATGTCCGGCGCGTTATCCGGGTTGGTGGACACGGAGAGTCTACCTAGGAGAGTTGGAAAACCCAGATTCCAAACTAATACTGTACATGTGCTAGCTCCAGTATCCTGAGGGAACAAATGACGTATGAACTAATTGTTGGTCACCGGCTACCATGGGACTGCATCTCCCTACGTTGCTCCACTGTCTTGAAAATCAGACCACTAGGTCGAAGGCTCCGGTTGTGGCTCCCTAGGGAAACCACCTGCCTCGATCTCGACACCCGGGAAGTATCATAGCCCATACACAAATCAAGTGACTTGTGTGGCGCATATGTATTCGGTGCCCCCCCCCCCTATGTGCTCAAATAAATAAATAAAAATTAACTCTTAATGGTGAATATGTTAGACATACTGACAATGTGGCTATAGTTAGTCCTTTAAGATTATTACTGGTTGATAATATTTATGGTATATGTTGACAATTTGGTTAAAGACTGAATTTAAAGATGTGTCTTTATAAACGATATGTGGATGATATCAAAGTTAGAAATGACAAACGTGAGGATATGAATTGCTTGTTAACGAAATTAATACACCTCAAAAGTGTATTAATCTTTCATGTAATGAGGAGATAAATAATCATCTCCCTTTCTTAAGTACACTTATTAACATAAAAGACAATTATCCTATCAAACATTCCATTTATAGAAAACCTACATGGACAGAGAAATAACTCAGTTTTCATTGTTACTGATTAAGTTCAGTATAAACAAGGGTTAATAAAGGGTTTATTTAATTCATATCTGCACTAGTGATACTATTGAAGACGTAAAGTGTTTGACAGAAACATTGATACAAAATGATCATTCATTAAATCGATCAAAAAGCTAAAATATAATGAGATCTATAACGCTACTGGTATCCAAAACACATGTCTACATCAACCTACCATTCCGAGGTGAATCATATGGTTTTATGTTGAAAAGGACGCAAGTAGTTTCAATGCTAAGGCGAGTTGAAATTTAGTTATTACCTACTTCAGTCACACATTATTTCGTAAAAAAACAGTATAATCGTGATTTTGTGTATGCTCTCTCAAACACAAAACTACATCAGAACTTGTAAGTTAACAAGATATAGGACTGAATATAAAAACAGTGATCAACTGGAAGCAAAACGTCGAACTTTGATACATCGAGAAAAAGACTCCACCTGTAACTCTTTCTAGGGTTACTGACGGTTTCAACACCGGAAAAAGGAAGAGGGCTGGGTATGGGGTTAGCAACCCAATCTCGTAGAAAACAACCTTGCTAAAAAGAGAACGCTAACCAGAATAAACAATTTAAACTACTTAAACTTTGTCTTCATAATTCACGGATCTTTATACAGAACAATTAAGACGCCTTATAGTGAAAGCTGAGATTTTTCGGAAGTCAAGAGGCCAATGAACCTCCCCCCCCCAACGTCGAGGAAAATTTGGATAGATTAGTGACATTTTTAACAACAAGGAAACCTAAGTTAACAACAACCCAAAATTATTGGTATGAAAATAGAAATCACTTATCGAAGTATTAAGCTATGAGCTATATTGTTAGTGCATGAAGGCTAGTAATGATACTATTTGACTACTTATATCAAAATAATGTTACGAGGCTGTTATGGATGCAGAATAATGTGCCAATCATTATCATGTTAAGCCTAGTGATGTCCTTGGACGTTAAATGGACATTTCCTATTGGCCATTATTTATTTCATCCGTTAAATATTGTACAAATGTTGTTTTCCATTTTTATGATACGATGTGGTATGTTTGGTTAGCATATAAATAGAGTATGTCTGAAATATAATGATTCATATCTCAGAGGTTGCAACTTGTGTTCTAGACTCAACTGACTGGGCTAGACAGGGAAGCGAGACCAATCGAGACTCTAGGCTGTCCGTACGTGTTTACGTGTCATTGAATCGATCGATAAATACGCTGCTCTCTAATTTTTCCAGTCAAGGACACAACAATTAGCACAGGGTAAAAATCGACCCAAGTTTAAAGTCACAACAGAGGCTCAAATCCGAAACTTGGTAACTAATAATTCAAGTGTGTAATAATAATAATATTTAACGAGATCATTTAGTATGTTGATCTGAGGGAGAAATGTAAACTAGCAATAGATTAATTTTTACATACCTGACGTAACTCTGACTTCAGTAATTTTGTACTGTCAAGTTTTTTCTTAGATGAGTTCCTTCTGAAAAACGACAAGAAATACATTTATAACTTTGGAAATATACTTGTGAGAAAGTGTTATATTTGAAAGAAGGATAAATGAATGGTAACTGATAGGATCTATTTATGAACTGTTATTATACATATATATTACTATTACATAACTATTAAGTAACTATATTATATGTATATTCATATTCCTTTGATTTTAAGTTTCTATTTGATCTATTGGCTATTGTTATACGATATGCTACTCTTAAGTTATTCCCAATTTATTGGTAACAGTCTTTCACAATCACTGTTTGGCTTGATTATGTATAATTGTTATTTTCTATTCTATGGAATGATGAGGTCTGATTTGCTTGTATATAAACCAAGTATATCTGAAATATATGATTCATATCATAGAGGATGAGTTTGACGTTTTGAACTTAACGGGCGAGGGTAGGTGAAGAAAGACCAATAGGGATTCAGAGTGACGCACGGCTACTAGTACTGATTGACGTATGACTGGTTTCACACAAGAACAAGGTCATATAAGTTGGTATTCTGATTGGCAATTTTATCGCTTGAAAGTCATAATGAAAAGAGTGCCAAATAGCATGAAACCTGGGTCCAGGGTTTCCTGTTGACTACCTCCAACTACCATCTTATCTCAACATAGTGCACGCAATGTCGAGTCACCTAGACTAGTGGCCACATTACAACTTTTCCGATAGGATTCGATCTGCACTAAGAAGGACCTGACACACATGACATTGATCACCACCCAGTGATCAATCAATTGTGAGGTTATTTACTTTTGAATAATTAATACGGTATAGTCTTCTAAATTTAACGAAACTTGAGTGTGTTATGTCGAGGTGATTTAGTAACAGGGAACAATGCACAGTTTCAAACTGCGACATTTCGCAAAAGTACAGAAAATAAAAAAACACAACGAAAACGGAAAGAATATTAGGTCTGCTATGCGATTCACTTCTCTATTGCTCGTTACTTTTGTATAATACATCATACTACGTGTTAATATTCAGTAGTTCATGTAATATATATATTTAAATATATCAACCGGGTCAGTTGTGAGATGGTAACTCACTGATTACATTGGTGGATGTGTTGCTCAATTTCGTGGATTATTTGAAGTCAGACATTAACACCGTTGGATACCGGCCGGTTCAGTGGTCTAGTGGTTAAGCGCCCGCGCGCGAGATTGATAAGTCTTATGTTCGAATCCCGCGAGCGGGATCGTGGATGCGCACTGCTAAGGAGTTCCACAATAGGACGAAACGGCCGTCCAGTACTTCTAGGTTTTCCATGGTGGTCTAGCTTCAATTGAAATTTATTTAATATACATTCATTTTGAAACCTGTATTCCTCAATTGTAATAAATTGTCAATCCCAAACATTGTTATTATTATTATTATTATTATTATTATTATTATTATTATTATTCAATGTTTTATCTCATTTTCTTACTCTTAAAAACACCTTTCACTTCTTTTTATCTACTGAATATCATATATACCACCGAGTAAACCGATGTTCAACTTAAATATCTCGTCTACTTTAGAAGTTCAACGCTCGGTTCTTTCCTTTATGATTCTCCTATCGAAGCTTGAAAAATCAGTGGACGATCCTACCAGTCCTAATGTTTCATAATTTGCAGTACATACTTTCTAAATGATTCAACTTTGATAGTATAGCAGACACCTAGGAAATCTCTTATTGCTTACGTCTTCTTCTTGAATAGTGTATTTTAGATAAACAATAAGTTTTCTATGTCGAGATCTCATGAATCATTCAATTGTTGAATAAGAATCACCTTAAAGGATTCTATTATAAAGATAATAAACAAAATAAAAAGGAATTGAGATCGAACAGTGTCATTAGATTTCACACATGAAGTATGACTCAAAGACAAGAATACGAATCAGCACTTGGATAGTGAGTTGATGACAATAATAATAAAAACAACGGATATATATTCAAATCTCTAGTGTTGAATAGATTTTTGATTCAGTAATTAGACTAGGCGACTTGAATATTATGTTAATCTGATAGTTTATGACATTCACAATTGATTGATCACTGGGTGGTGATCAATCTCATGCCTGTCTAGTCCTTATTAGTGCAGATCGAATGCTATCGATCATGTTGCAATGTGGCCACCAGTCTAGGTGACTCGGCACTGCGGGCACTATGTATTGAGATTTATGACATTATAACAATTATGAATGATGCTTCTACAAGGGATTCTAACTCTGATCCAGTAGAGTTTTATCTTATCAAGAGGTATCCAAATTTAAGTAGTTTAAAAAGTAATGCTAATATTTTTTTCCTAAGTAAACCATTAAAATTGAACTTACTTTCCACTATTATCCTCATCATCACCTACTTTATTATTATTATTATCATCATCATCTAATAGAATGTTGGCATCTTTTGCTGCTTTAGTAAACCAATTATCATTTGCTAGTTGTCGAGAATTTCTATGCTCTTGTATATCAATTTGTTTAGCTAATTTAACAATTTGTTCACTGATATTCAATTGAATAGTTGTTGGTTGAATAATAAAATCATCAAGTTCCAGATCTGAAATAGTTGTATATGGAAAATTTAAAAGAATAACTATGTATCATAATTAAAACCAAAAAAAAATCTGGATAATACTTATCAAGATTAGATAGAATAGGAAAATTCTATTAAGGTATTAGACGCTTAAGTGCTCTCAAATGCACTTGTACGGCCGCTTTCCCTCTCCAAATCCTTTCATATGGCCACGCGTATATAGCCTCTCCCAGGGAAGTCCTACTCACTGCCTTATCGCACCACGAGTGGTCTTCACGAAATTGACAGGACGAAAAGCAAATGTAAACCGCATTAACCAGGTTCGTGGAGAAAGAGAGTCTACCTAGAGGAGTTGGAAAACCTTCATTCCAAACCAACAGTGCACATCGGCTGGCTCCAGGATCCTGAGGGAACAAATGGAGTATGAACTAATTGTTGGTCACCAGCTACCATGGGACTACATCTCCCTACGTTGCTCCACCGCCTTGAGGATCAGACCATTAGGTCAAAGGCTTCGGGTGCGGCCACCTAAGAAAACTACCTGCTTCAGTTTGGGCACCCGGTCAGTATCATAGCCCTCAAACAAATCAAATGAGATTTGTGTGGCGCATATGTATCTGGTGCCCACTTGTACCAATATCTATGTGTCCAAATAAATAAATAATTTAGTGTATACTTTAATAATATAACATTGAGAATTGTTTTCAGATAGTGATTACATATAATGATCAGATTATCGGTATAAACCACAGATTGTTGGAAATTAAAATTCCAAATTCCCCGTCGAATTCTACTTGTTATTACCTTATAGGACAGACATATATAATCAACGTAAAGCTTAGGATAAGTTGCTTTAGAACATTATAATGAAGGGATGAAAATAACATGAATGACGAAAGAGATCAAAATAATTTAGTCTCAATGATAATGAGAAAGATTGGATATTGATAATATGGTTCGAAAAGACATAGTAGAAAGGTATATATGGTGGGAAATCCAAATTCAAGATTGATAGGATGATAAAGAGTGAATGCATCTGTGCTATATTGTAAACGATTCTTAGCCAACTTACCCAATGTCTCCGAACATAGATTGTCGTTATTATGTAGACCATAACCACATAGTCTGCATCTACCAATATGACTTTATGAACTAATACCATGTCTCGATTTAGCCACTACTAGCTTTCAATCCAATTCTACACTAGCAAACATCGCCCGTCAAGGTTGGCTGTTATTAGGCACACGTAATGCATGTCCTAACAACTACAGTTGATGATCTGCTTCGACCGATCAATCATGATTAGCCGTACCACACACAACCTGTCAATATTCATACCTATTCTCCTAAACGTTACCTAAAATGTAGTTTCACAATGATCACATGTTAGTTTGTTTATTATATATTTCACAATGGGATAGTATTATTTCTTCTATTTAGTATTATTTCAAACACAATTTATTGCTCATAACAAATCATATTACTACATTAGGTTCAATAAGGCGCAATGCTAACTTGTGTTAGGGATGGTTGGAAGGAAGTTAGGGGTGGCCAAACCAAAACGTGGCATCAGCCCACAAAGTTACTAACTTCTAGTCTGAGCAATGTTGGTAGATGCAGACTAGTTGGTTGGGGTCCGCGTGACTATTGTAACCAATGGTTGATACTCTAGGTGACATGGCTCAGAATCGACCACAAAGGTGTCTTCCTTTAAACTATGAGATTTAAATCGCTTCATATCTTTCTCTCTACCAACTAATTCTTTCTTCCTGTACTATGTCTTTATATGCAATCTTTCTTTTATATATTACCACCACTGAATTAACTACTTCTATGAATCCGGTGTTCATCTTGTTGTGCTAATGATGTATGGCAACTTGGATAGATGTATATATGTTGAGTCGGCTTCCGGAGAACTTCAACGGAGCCTCCAGAAGCCCAAAATAAGCCGAAGGACCCTAGGCCGTTCACTACGTGTTTTCCGTGTCACCGAATCGATCAACAAAACGCTGCGCATCTAACCTGCAGTCACCCGTTACAACAATATATGCGCCTGGTCCTACGTTGTAGCTGACTGACTGACTGAGGTTCAATAAGATGGATAGTGTTATCTTACAAATAAGGATGTGAGCAACTAAGATTTCAGAACATGAACAGATACACGAAACTTTAAACTATTTATATTTTTTTATCATGAAGACCATTTAACTTCTTTGATTTAGGTGTTTCGTGGTTGTTTACCACTAAATATGTCTAGAAAATTACTAAAATCCCTATTCCTAGACAATTCACCTATCATTGAAATATAACTATACATTTTCAAGTTTCGAACAATTGTACAGTTTTTTTCCCTAGATTTAAATCAATTTATTCATCAGGTACTTGGATATTAGCCACATACTAAGTGTGACGGCTAACGATACAAACCCGTTGCCTAAACCCAAGTATGTAGAGTGCAGTTCAAACCACGAGCTGAAATTCATACACCTTAACTACTAAGCCACTTTTTTATACAGTGAATATAATCAATAGTAAATCTGAAAAGCATGGTCAACATAATAAATGATTCTATTTACAGCATAATCACTTACTAGTTCTTTGAAGACTGACAGCGATTCGACGCCAAAACATAATTTCATTTGGTGAAATAAATAATAAACTAGTTCCTTGACGATTAGCTCTGGCAGTACGCCCTGATCTATGTATATATAATTCAGCTGTACGAGGTACGTCAAAATGTATAACCCATGATACTCCATTTTTTTCAACTATACTATCACTTGATGCTAAATCTAAACCACGAGCAGCTACATCACTAGCGAGTAAAATTCCATTTGGATCCGCTAAAACATGAAAGCATAAGGTATTGAAAAACTGAATTTAAGATACATACAAACAAAATTAATACAAAGAGAAAAAAAACTGTCGAATTAGTTTAATTTGCTTACATAAAAAGAACCAAACTAGATGAATAACTTAATATAATTAATTGAAATTACATGTAAAAATGAAGAAAACATATAGATGGAATAACGAGATATAGTGACATTTGGTGTAATTTTATTTTATTTTATTTGAATACATAAATATTGGTACAAGAGGGCACCAAATATGTATGCGCCGCACCGTATTTGTGTGTGGGTGTGTGGGGGCTGTGATACTGCCCGGGTGCCCGGACCGAACCAGGTGGTTTTCTTAGGGGGCCACACCCCGAGCCTTTGACCTAAAGGTCTAACCCACAAGGCAGTGGAGCATCGTGAGGAGATGCAGTCCCATGGTAGCCGGTGACCAACAATAGGTTCATACGCTATTTGTTCCTGCAGGATACTGGAGCCCATTTGCACCATTGTTTTGGAATCCAATTAAAGCGCCGGACATTCGCTTTTCGTCCTCTCATTTTTGTAAACAACACCCCCGCCACGAGAAGGCAATGAGTAGGACTTCCCTGGCAGAGGCTGTATACGCGTGGCCGTGTGGGAGCATTTAGAGAGGGAGGGCAGGCCCACCCAACTCTCGGCCATACCAAGGCATTTGGGGGCCATTTGGTGTAAAACCGAAACTGAACAGATTAAAGGTATATCTAAGTCATTCACAGGTAAAATAGAAACCTGGTACGAATATGGATCAGTTCAACTTACCATAAATTATGGTATCACATAGATAGAGATCATCTGGGTTTTTTTTAGCTGACTATGAGTTACCTTTAATATGCACTCTAAATATGGAGATTATATAGTTAAAAATAGAAGTGAACCTAGTCGATGGATGTCATATTATATATTTGATTATCATAAGGTTTGTTTCATCGTAGTTCTGTTCAACACCAATTAAAATAAACAGTTTTAAGTGTGAATAAATTATTTGACGATATCTATCGGTACAAGTAACCTAGTGATCAAAGTACTTCATTTCCAACCGTTGGGCTAAAGGTTCAAAATACAATGAATTTATTACATTGTAAATAGCCAAGTAGTATCACCAATCCTAACATAATGTCGCTTAAAGCCGAATACATAAACATGGAAAATGAGTTAGACTCAATGAAGTTCACAACTATAATAACTGATTCCTCCCAATAGTACATAAATTCATAAGTTGAAGCAAAAATAACAATAACGACAACCAAGTATTTGTGTTTATTTTAACTTAATGTTCGATTTCGTAAAACAGTGAATACTTCTGGTAACGACAAGTTACAATGATATCAATAATGGTGAAATACAACACTGGAATATACCACCCAAACAAATAGTCACAGAAATTAAAGGATTAAAACTAAGACAAAAGAGATGACAATTGATTTTGAACAAGCAATGAGATCCTCTAGGAGGATAAAAAAGATAAACTGAGTAATTCTCACATATTTATATGTATTTTCCTATTGATAAGTTTTAGTCACATTGATTAGGAGATGGAAGTGTTCAATACTGATTTGGACAGAATGAATAGGTGTTAAATGTTAAGAACTACTAACACAAGCTCAAATTAATCGATTTTTGTCCATATGTCTATTGCATATCGAAATTCAGCAATTAATTTCCTAATGTTATGTCAAATAAAAATACAAGACCACGACAACAATACATAAAATACCTTGGAACCGTTCAAGTGCGCGTAGTCTTTGCTTCTGAATCATATCAGCATGTAAGACATTTACATACTGTAGTGATGGATATCCAGATACCAAAAAAGCATCTGAACTGAGCAACTGACGTAATACTCCAGCTAATCGACGTACGCCAGATTTGCTATTTAGAAAAATTAAGCACCGTCGATTGGGATACTCTGAAGATCCAAGATGACGGCCAAATGCAATGAACCAAAACAGTCGAATATCTTTGCTTGCCTGGTCTGGACATAACAACCGACATTCAGAAAGGCTATCAGGGCAAGTTGATTGACAGACTAAGCCGGTATTTGAAGCTGATTGATTAGTGGAATGGTTTGATGATAAATCGATTACTTTAGCAGATTTTTTCAAACCGAACATTTCACGTAGTACCGCTGAAAGTATAGAAGAACAAATGATCAACTTTATCCAGTAACCATGAAAAGACAAAAGTATTAAACTTTGTATAGAATATGCATTAGAGAAAGGGTAGAAATGCGATGGCACAAAAATAGTGACAAGAATGATATTGTAAGCCAGAAAATCGACATGATATCTCATCAGTGATCGAATAAAAAATGGTTGACCAGAATTTAAAGATAATTGATGTGGTCAGTCTGTCCAATCTCCATGTCCATTTTACCTAACGATGCATGCTGGTTTTGATGCAGTCAAAGTGAGTAGTAGAGAGACTTGATGAACAATAATTGACATAGTGACTTTAGATGACAGTTTGCCATTAATTTTTGCTAGATCAATATTTGTCATCAGACAACCTTTAGCAGGGTAATGTACTACTTCTTTGATAAGTCTATATAATGTTTGTATAAAATAACAATTGTTTTGTACATATTTAACAGCGTAATCCTAAGTTAAATACAATATAAACAAGCGTGTGTACACTGTATCCTCTGTTTTCAGTTTTGACCCAGTCGCAACTATTAGAGTACATAGTGATTAGATATAGGAGTTGAATAGATCGCATATTACATTCAATACTACTACCGTTGATACTACCATTTCAAAGCACCTTGATTGTTCTATAATATAGTGTTATAAAACCTATTCATCAATGAAGTATGTACAACAGATAAAGACGATGGAGAAGAATACAATAAACTCTTTGTATTGAATAATAATAGCCCCCAAATGCCCTGGTACGACCGACAGTGGGGAGAGTCAGCTGTCCCTCACGAAATGCTCTCATATGGCCACGCGTATATAGCCTTTCCCAGGAAAGTCCTTCTCATTGCCTTATCGCACCACAGGTGTTCTTCACGAAATTGACAAGACGAAAAGCAAATGTAAACCGCATTAACCAGGTTGGTGGACAAAGAGAGTCTACCTAGGGGAGTTGGATAACCTTCATTGCGAACCAATAGTGCACACCGACTGGCTCCAGGATCCTGAGGGAACAAATGGCGTATGAACTAATTGTTGGTCACCAGCTACCATGGGACTACATCTCCATACGTTGCTCCACCGCCTTGAGGATCAGACCATTAGGTCAAAGGCTCCGGGTGTGGCCACCTAAGAAAACTACCTTCTTCAGTTTGGGCACCCAGGTAGTATCACAGCCCTCACAAAAATCAAATGAGATTTGTGTGGCGCGTATGTGTCTCTTGCCCCCTAGTACCAGTATTTATGTATTCAAATAAAATAAAAATAATAATATTCATGACAATTATTAATTTAAACAAAAAAAAAGCATAAACCTTACCAAGTTTTATTTTCTTAGTCATAGTATTTTTATTGTTTGGTAAAAGTTTGTGATTTTTAGATCCAGTACCTGGTTTTAATGCACCACTATGTACAAATGTAAGAGTAGCTGAAAAAATTAATGTTTGTCGTTGTACTTTCATCATATCCGTAGAATTATCTGATATTTCAACTGATTTATGCTTTCTCTTAAGATTTAATGTTTTCTTCAAATGTGTTTGAATCTTTGTTGTAGTTTCTTGATCTTCTTGTTCGCCTTCATTATTAGAATTTGATGATGAATGTAACCAATTGAAAATTGAACGTAAATCATCAAAATGATTCGCTTCAATCATTCGATCAGCTTCATCAACTACAACTACATTAACATTATGTAATGTCAGAACATGAGGATCACCCTTTATAAAAAAAATATATGAACAAAACATTTCTTATAGATACTAAAGTTAAACTAGGGGTTTCGAAATATAAAAATTGAAAAACCATACAATTCATAGTCATTACATTAGAGTTTATGTCATTCAATGAAGAAATAATTGTAAGTGTTTAAGAGATGGTTTAACGGCCCCCAAATGCCCTGGTATGGCCGAGAGTTGTGAGAGTCCGCTCTCCCTCTCGAATACTTTCACATGGCCACGCGTATACAGCCTCTGCCACGGAAGTCCTACTCACTGCCTTCTCGTGGCGGGGGTGTTGTTTAAGAAAATGAGAGGACGAAAAGCGAATGTCCGGCGCTTTAACCGGATCCCAAACCAATGGTGCACATGGGCTCCAGTATTCTGCGGGAACAAATGGCCTATGAACCAATCGTTGGTCACCGGCTACCATGGGACTGCATCTCCTCACGATGCTCCATTGCCTTGTAGACCAGACCTTTAGGTCAAAGGCTCGGGGTGTGGCCCCCTAAGAAAACCACCTGCTTTGGTTTGGGCACCCGGACAGTATCACAGCCCACACACACAAATATGATGTGGCGCATATATATTTGGTGCCCTCTTGTACCAATATTTATGTGTTCAACTAAATAAATAAATAAATAAAGATGGTTTAACGAGCAGTAATTTTTTTATCCAAAGCAGTCTGGAAGACGATCTTAATAACAAATGTAGGAAAATGCACATTATTTCAAGTGCTCTAAACAAATGAAACTGGTAATACTTGGGAACCGAATTTGAAACAACTTAACAAGTTTACGCACTCGGCTTTGAGTCACATAATTTGTGCAAGGTCTAATTAGAGCCTCCCAAATAGATATAGAGTGGAGTTTGAAAATGTAGTCTATTGACTGAAGTGTGAGTGACTTGGTCAATAAGCTATCGTAACGCAATCCAAACTTCGCGAAAACAAATGATCGGTTAGTTTTTGTGTTCACAACACTTGATTAGAATATGAAGTGAATATTTACAGGGGTTAGAAACATTCTTATTTTGCACATTCTATAAAACAGATAACAATTAGCTCCAAGTGTCGAAATCCATTAAACACGGTAAAAGAAAACACTTTTATAGGGGAAAGATACTGGCTGAAGCAAAAACCATGAACTCGTTTTTTGAACTAACCTGAAACTCAACACTCAACGAAATGACAAGTTTTCATTTAAGTCATAAGAAATATGTACTTGGAGGACTGAATGACGTTAAACCCATATATTATTGTTACCAAACACCAGACACTCTGGTTTGGAATCAATATCGGCGACTACATTCAACCAAATATTTATTTTTTATCATAAATCGAAGATGTTAATTTCATATTTTTACTTGTACTTCATTTTGTCATAGAAAGAAATACGTTCATTCGAAAACCAAGCAAAGATTTATACAGTAAGTTGGAGGTAGTATCATCAAAATGTCTAAACTTTGGTAATATGAAGAAGAGCTTGAAACCACAACCCAATGGTTATAAGTCGAGTATGTAAAACATTAAAATACAATTAAGTATTTTAGTTGTAAATACTTGTTTCCCCTCTACCATTATGATTACAGTAAATGATTTCATTAAAGCTAGTCACTTGGAGGAAAACAAACCAACTAGCTGAAATAAATGAAGGGATAATCTATGAGGGTTTTCTTTTAATAATTTATAAATTATCCAATAATTCTTTTTCTTATTCAATTCTGATATCTTGTCCTCATTACAAACCAGACTTCTACAGTTGGCTCAATTTTACTAATCAATCTCTATACAAGACACAAATGAATAAAAAGAACTAACTTGTTGAATAAAATGCCATAGTCTTCCAGGAGTAGCAACAAGTATATCCGGACAACGTCGAAGAAGTCGAAGCTGTTTATCAACTGATATTCCACCAACGATACTTTCAATACGAATACAATCGACATATCGCATTAAAGCACGAATATGTTGTGTAACCTAGATTTACTCGAGGAAAAAAATGACCACTAATGAAAACATTGACTTAAACGTACTAGCAAAGTCTAAACATAAAGCAGGAAAGGAAATAAGAGCTATGGGTAAAATAGTGGCAAAGGACCAAAATAAACACATGTTTAGACTTGATAGAGATTACAGATTGAAAAATCTGTTGTCAGTAGAACTATCGCGGATGAAGATAAAAGAGGTAATTGTGATGATACGAAGACGTTGAGGAATACTTCAACTGGTTTCCAACAATCCCTCAGTTGGGCAACACTCACCAAGATTTTGTAGGAGATGAACAACGATTTTTAGTGATGTTGGTTTAGGAGCGCCAGTTAGACTTTAACACTATCTATGGTTTGGACGTTAAGATAACTGTATTATGTGGGTTGTGATTACTAACTATTCCATTTTATAAGAACGAATGGGAATATCATATGAATTTGGTTAATATAGTGTGAGAAACTGGCTTTCATAATTATCTGACGTTCAAATGGAGCTCAAGAACTGTGATCCCAGAAATAGGCAGGTTTCAAACCTAACTGTGGATATGCAAACCACATATTTACCCTTTTACAGGTTTTAAAGCACAAACATATCTCTCACGGCCCGACAGTAGTATTTTCTAGCCCAAAGGTTAGAGGTGGATCCGACAATTGAGATTTTATGGCACTATATATCAGTGAAAAGCATGTCAAAGGTGTACGCTAACGTATTAAAGACTTGTTGATCGAAGAGTATTGGTCGAGTAAGAATTTGTAACGAGCCGTTGATGATGATGATCATGATAAGAATGCAAAGGATTAACTCGAGTTTTGCTTATTTGCACCACTTTTATTACAGACGAGATATAATATCGAGGAAGAGGGCAAGTTTACATCAGTATGATTTACAAAACGTGGACTGTGAAGGTCAAGAACGTCTGCAAGTTGCCAGCAACTAATGGTAAATGTCTTTCAGATAGCGCTCTTGAGTATAGTGAAATGAAGAAGTGACTAATACTGGTTTTCGGTTCGTTTTGTTAGATAAGGATGGTTGATGCGCGTACTAGCCTTCATTAAATAGAGTAATTAGGTATCACACATCTTCACCCATTGTTAATTCGTGCTATGTTGGTTACTATTGAATTGGCCAAGTAAAGATGCAGAACTAATTCATAGCTACATCTTCTGAACGTTTCGCTTTTTGTTTTGTTAGTTTCTTCTTGCTGTGTTGATATGAAGGGTTACAACTAGGACTGTTACATATTTGTACCAGATCATACGTTGTTCAATGACTGACCGAAAGATAACGGTTTATTAGTCTTGATTTAACACCTAATTTAACTGCAAGTTAAAGTGATTGGTGACTCTAGATATAAAAAGCAACTCTACATGAACATCTTAATACAAAATCTGGTTTATATAAATAACGACCTTATGAGAATATTTTTCAATGTGAAGTGCATTATTAGAATAGATATATAGAAAATTGGAAACAAAATTGTAAAACAATCCAGATATGAGTATAAGGGGGATATTACATGTGAACAAAGTCAAGTTTGCAAATCGTCAAAAATGACTAGAAAGGAAACTTTCTTTAGAATAAAACTCTTTCATACTTGAATAGCTAATTCCCTGGTGGGAACTAGAACAAGCCCATAAACACGATTCCTTTTTGAATTCGGTTCAAAACAAACAGATTTGGTAATTGGAAGTGTTTCAGGATCTGCTGTAACAGGATCGCCAAGGGAATGGACTGCGCGAATTTCTCCAGTGTTTACATCTAACTCTTCTATGACATTTAAACCTGAATAAATGTCAGTTTCCTTCTTTTTTTTCTTCCTTTTCCCACAAGGTTTGACGCAAGATGCCACTTCGCATTTTTGTCGATCAATCAAGCCATTAATTTTGGACTCTTCCTCACAAGTCTGGTTCTGGAAAACAAATTTACAATGAAGTACACGATGAAAATCGCAACGAAGCTTTTGGCTAGATATCATTTATGAACGTTTGCATCATAGCTTAAATAAATTTAGTCACTGATGATTTCGGTACAACATACCAGGAGTATCAGAATTTGAATTAACTACCACGTCCCCTTATCGGGATATGATTCATTCTACAATCTTGTACAGTAGACACCACCTATCGCGACTTTTCCACAGCCTTTGAAAGTTCCTATTATTCCTTTTACTATTACAAACATAAAGCAAATAAAGTACCTTTACACGATGTAAATGTAAGTAAACTATATAGATGATACTAAGTCGACTAATCAGACTAAGGATTGGTTTCTATGGAGAATTCTGGATAGCTGAAGATATCTGGCATCCTGTGTGAAGAGCTTTGTAAAAACTTGGCAGAACTTGCAGATATTTTGCTACCTAGACGCTGAAAATTGGCAGATATGAAGAGCCAAAAGACTCGGGACAATTGTAAGCAGCTCTTAGAATGACCAGAGGAAAATTATCATATTTTCGAAAAATTGATAAAAAAGCTGGGATTTTCCAAAGTAGCCTGAAAATCCTTAGAGCGGTATTCTACTTCATAGGAGAACCAAACAGATTTGATACAGTCTCGTATATATGCGCGAAATTAACTTAGTCATATGACTAAACAGCGAAAATGTTTAATAACATTAACCTGCTTCGGTTTGGGCACCCAGACAGAATCACAGCCTTCGTACAAATCAATGGTAACCACTACCGTAAAAATTTCTCTTGCTTCAACGCTCGCTCAGACAAATCTTATTCACAATCACATGATAACATTCGTTTTTATTTCTTTTATACTACGTCACTTATGTATTCCCCTTTATTCTCATTTTACGCATTTCATTTTTCTACTTATACAGCAACTCACCTATGGTGGGAGCCCTGCCCTATCCAAACGATCTCAAGTCACTAACTGGTCGAAGGCTGGATACTACCACCGAATACGAATACTGAACTAGTCTTTCTAAAACCACATATACCATTCAAACTGATGTCCTTCAACGTTCGCTTACTAATGCAGATCGGACAACAGATAGGGTTGTCTGTGTCTTTAGAAAGTCTCAATATCGATATGTTGTTGACCCGAGACCTGTATTCAAGCCTCTAGTGAAGCACCACAAATTCTTTCTCCATCTGTCGCTTCGAAAAGCTTGTTTCACATGCGTTTATTCGAGGGCCCTGCGGTATCTTTATCTGGTTTCGCTAGCGTTCGTGTCGCACTAAGCGTTAGAGCTGAGGCAGTACTGATCGATTGGATCCCAATTAACAGTCAGTTATATGCTGTTAGATTGAAAAGTTCCATCAAAGTGAGAAGAAATCGGTGTGAGAAACTATGTCTTTTTGTCATCGCCTATGCTGCGACAGATTGCAGCCCGAATGCGACCGAGCATGTTTTACCACCAGTTGACTGTTCTTCTATAGAAAGTGCGTTCAACAGATATTGTAGTACTGGCTGGATACTTGAATGCTCAGGTGGGGCGTCTAGGCACAGGAGAGTCGTATAAACAAGTATTGGTTGCGACTGCATGACACCACGAAAATGGGGAGTAAAGTCGCTTTCGGCTTTGCGAGACGTATCACTTATAAGCACTGGTTTTCTTCAGGCCCTTTACAACTTATTGAAGCCCATTAGTTTACTTCGGATGACCGTGAGTTTGATCACAAAAGACGACTGTTACGTAATGAAATTAGGCAAAGCTTGCGCAAGGACCAGCTTTCGAAAATGGGAATCATTTATAAGGGGTAACACTTTAAGGTGCATCCACAGACGACGTCATTAAAGCAAGAAGTAGTATTTAGTTTGAAACCGACGATTAAATCATGACTAAAATTGACTTTTATTCTTTGCAATACAAACTTAAAAAGCGGATCCATGATGAATTACATCGAAAACAAGCCTGATTATCCCTTAAAAAACCCTTAAACCGAATTTCCTGAATCTATTCAAACCATGATAGGGACTGAAGGTACAGTGGAGAACCTACCAAGGAGTTGTTCAGATAGTGTATAATAGACTTGAAGAAAGTACGGAGACACCATAATCTATGTTCGAACCAATAAAATTAAAAGCTGCAAGTCTTGGGATGTGGTGCAAATTTATTCATCCATATAGATAAGTCAGTCAGTCAGTAACAACGTAGAACTTCGTACTTACGTACATCAGTTCGAGTTGCCACACCACATTAGCACATAGATGCAGTGGTCGATTCAAATCCCGTAGTGGTAGAGGTAGCAAGAGTATAAGCAGTAATCGGAAACATTAGGGTTTGAAGATGTTATTCAAGGAGTATAATCCAGTGAAATAAATTTGGAAAGAGGAAAAAAGGGACATGAAGAATTCAGAAGATTAGAATTTGGGAGAACACAAAGAGTGGATGCACCTGCGCCATTGCAAACGATTTTGAGCCTTGTCATTCAAGGTCTCTAACCATCGACTGCTATCATCTCGTGGACCCCAACCAGGCAGTCTACACCTACCAACATGACTCAGTCCACTTGTCAGTGACTTCATGGACTTGTGCCATGTTTTGGTTTGGCCGCCTCTAGCTTTCTTCCAACCTACTCCTATACCACTGAACATCGCACGCCGGGACAGTCGGTGGTTGGGCATAAGTAACACGTGTCCCAGCCATCTCAACTGATGAAGTTTCACTACTTCATCAATGGATTTGCCATCCTTACCTAGTACCCGTTTCCTGACAACTGTGTTACTTACTCGATAGTCCCAGGATATACGAGCAATATTTCGAAGACACATATGGTCAAATACTAGTAACTTACGGATATCCTCTACTCTTACCGGCCATGTTTCACTGCCATAAAGTAGGACGGAACGAACTGCTGCGCAGTAAACATGTCCTTTGGTTGGTAGACGGATATCTCGCCTACGCCATAAATGACGCAAGTTGGCAAAAGTTAGTCGAGCCTTCTGTGTCCGTGTTGAGATTTCGTCACACACCAGACCACAAGGGCTGATGAGACTTCCAAGATAAGTGAAGCGGTCGACACACTCAACTACTTCACTCCCTATCACTAGTTCGGGTGTCGATGTAACCCAATCCTGAAGCAACATTTTGCATTTCGAGGGAGAGTGGATAAATAGCATTTCAGTATGATGCCAGGTATCAGTTTATGATGAAATTTATTTATTTATTTATTTGAACACATAAATATTGGTACAAGAGAGCGCCAATATATATGCGCCACACAAAACAATGGGAATTCGAAGAGAAGTAGAAAGAAAAAAAAAAAACTAAGGAACGCAAAAGAAAAAGAGAGTAATGACGAAGAGGTACAATCAGAAGAAATCTTTCACGTAAATGAGACACAACCACTTTTTATGAAGAAAGTAAAAGAAGGTTACAGCAGGATCGCCACTGGCTTCTATTCTGAGCCATATCTGATAACGTCTCTAGCCACTGTGTTGCACCATCTCTCGGACCCCAACCAGGGAGTCGTGAAGGACCAACACAAGCCAGTCCTTTGCAGCTTTCTTTCATGCCACGACACCATGTCATGCACTGACCACCTCTCCGCTTCTTCCAACCAGTCCCAGAGTCGGCAAATAATGCACGACGTGGAATTCTCTGGGACGACATTCGGAGAACATGTCCAAGCCACCGAAGTCGGTGTTTCAAGATGGTGACACCAATTGAGTTATCATCTCTGTGCCCGAACACACGATGCCGAACCTCTGCATTACTGACATGGTGTTGCCACTGAATGTCAGCAATCCTTCGGAGACAGCGATGATCGAACACAGAGAGTCGTCTAACGTCCTCAACTCGGAGAGGCCAGGTTTCACAAGCATAGAGCAAAACTGCTCTCACCGACGCGTTGTAGATCCGGCCTTTTACCGCCAGACTAACATCACGAAGGCGCCATAGATGGCCCAGATTGGCATAAGCCGCTCTGGCTTTCACTATTCGTGCATTGATCTCATCACTCACACCCCCACCAGCACTTATGCAGCTACCCAGATACACGAACTTCTCAACTACGTCTATCTGCTCACCGTCCAGGGTGAGTACAGGATTAGAATCCTGCCAGTCTTGTAGAAGTACTTTGCACTTCGAAGGTGCAAAGCACATACCATACCTACGGACATTGATTGCCAACTGATTAAGTGCGGATTGCATGCCTTGGGCATTATCGCACAGTAAGACAATATCGTCCGCATACTCAAGGTCGAGAAGTCTTTCTCCAGGCAACAGATCCACACCACCATTACTTACATTCATCAGAGCTGTTTCCAGAATGTCATCGATGGCAAAGTTGAAGAGGAATGGTGAGATTGGGCAACCCTGCCTAACCCCACTGCTCGAATGGAACAATGGAGAGAGGTGGTTGTATGCCCTCACTCTGCCTGAGGTGTTTTTATACAGGGCTTTTAGGATGTTAATAAACTTCTCAAGCACACCCTTCTTCAATAGACAATCCCAGAGAACAGTCCTATCCAACGAATCGAAGGCAGCCCTGATGTCAAGAAACACTACGATTGTTGGCCTTTGAAAAGTATGGCGGTGTTCTAACATTTGGCGGAGGGTGAAGATATGATCAATACATCCTCGACCAGAACGAAACCCAGCCTGCTCCTCGCGAGTCAATCTTTCTCGGGTTTTGAACAACCTACGAAGAATGACGGAAGCCAATAGCTTGGACGCAATCGGAAGTAAACTTATCCCCCGATAGTTGTTACAAGAACGACGTGAACCCTTTTTAAAGATAGGGACAACTATCGACTCATTCCATGACGTTGGTACACTCTCTAGATCCCAAACCTTTGTAAACAACGTCGTCAATTCCTTAGTCAAAAAGTCACCACCATCTTTAAAAAGAGCCGGAGGTAAGTCATCTGGGCCAGGTGATTTGTAACGCTTCAAGAGTTGGAGTTCCTTGCGGACTTCCTCCTCATTTGGTGGATCAGTCGTCACCGGCCATGGAGGGCAGGACAGTCTGACCGATGTTGCCGGAGCAGCAGGCCAGTTGAACTGCCCTTCGAAAAATTCTGCCCATCGTCCAAGACGTCGATGGATGTTAGTGATTGGCATCCCATCATCCTCGCAGATTGTTTCACTCACACCAGACTTATTGCTGCCAGTGGCTCGGATGAGTTGGAAGAGCTTCCGGTAGTTACCAGATGCAGCTGCTGCTTCCAGCTCATTAGCACGCATCGACCACCAGGCTTCTCGGTCCTTACGCAAGCTTTGCCCGATTTCATTACGTAAAAACCTTCGTTTATGGTCAAACTCACGGTTACCCGGAGTAGACCGACGGGCTTCAATGAGTTGTAAGGAACCTGCAGAAACCCAGTGCTTAAAAGCGGGACGTTTCGCAAACCCACAACTGACTGTTCCCGCCATTTTCATGGCGTCATGCAATTGCAACCAATGCTCATCTATACTTTCCGGTGGAGTGGTAGCTAGCCTAGAGGCTAGCTCGGTTCGATACTTACTTGCAACAGAAGTTGCAACCAGCTTGCTAACATCAATCCGTTGATGGCGTTCACTTCGTTGTCCACTGAAAAGTAAGGCAAGATTGGCGCAGACCAAGGCATGGTCAGAGTCCAGATAGGTACTCCAAAAGGAGCGGCAGTCTTGTACACAACCACGCCAGCGGTAGCTGATCGCGATGTGATCAATCTGAGTCCAGGCTTGAGATGCAGAGGGAGGACGCCAGGTGGCACATCGGCGATGACTGTGCCGAAAGTTAGTGCTAGCCAGAAACAGGTTGTGGTCTGCGCAAAGTTGCAGTAGACGGTCCCCGTTATCTGACCTGCGACCAACGAGTCCCCATCGGCCACCTAAACGACTCTCTTCTGTGCCTAGACGCCCGACCTGAGCATTCAAGTCTCCGGCTAGTACTACAATATCTGTCGAACGCACTTTCTGGAGAAGAACTGATAACTGGTGGTAAAACTCATCCTTGATTGCATCCGGGCTGCAATCTGTCGGGGCATAGGCGGAGATGACGAAAAGACATCGTTTCTCACGCCGATTTCTTCTCGCTTTGATGGAACTTTCTAATCTAACAGCACATAACCGACTGTTAATGGGGATCCAATCGACTAGTGCTGCCTCAGCTCTAGCGCTTAGTGCGACACCAACGCCAGCAAAACCAGACGAAGATGCCACAGGGTCCCCGGATAAGCGCACGTAAAACAAGCTTTTCGAAGCGACAGATGGAGATCGAATTTGTAGTACTTCGCCAGAGTCTTGAATACGGGTCTCGGATAGACAACAAACATCGATATTAAGACTTTCTAAAGACATAGCCAGCCCTATCTGTTGTCCGACCTGCATAAATGTGCGAACGTTGAAGGCAGCCAGTTTGAATGATGCACGTGGTTTCAGAAAATCTGCTTCAGTCCTCGTATTCGGTGGTAACATACAATTTTCAACCGGACAGTGACTCGAGAACGTTTAGATACAGTCGGAATTCCACCAAAGACGAGCCGCTGTATAAGTATAAAAGAAGGTGAATAATGTGGAAAATAATAATAATAATGATAAAAATAACAATAATGACAATAATAGTAGTAATAATATTATTATTATTAATAATGACAATAATTGAAGTGATCATAATTTGAATCAATTGATTGTTTTTCAAAGCGACAAAAGTAGTTTCCATAGACATAAACAGTTCATCATTTGTGTGTGGGCTGTGATACTGCCCGGGTGCCCAAACCGAAGCAGGTGGTTATCTTAGGGGGCCACTCCCCGAGCCTTCGACCTAAAGGTCTAACCCACAAGGCAGTGGAGCATCGTAAGGAGATGCAGTCCCATGGTAGCCGGTGACCAAAGATTGGTTCATACGCCATTCGTTCCCGCAGGATACTGGAGCCCATGTGCACCATTGGTTTGGAATCCGGTTAAAGCGCCGGACATTCGCTTCTCGTCCTCTCATTTTCGTAAACAACACCCCCGCCACGAGAAGGCAATGAGTAGGACTTCCCTGGCAGAGGCTATATACGCGTGGCCGTGTGAGAGTATTTCGAGAGGGAGAGCGGACTCTCCCCACTCTCGGCCGTACCAGGGCATTCAGGGGGCGTTTCATCATCGTTTATGATGAAAAGCCTTATATGATATATTAAACTTAAACTCTAGATCTAAATTTTAGTTCTATTTCCCTCATACTAATTAAAAATCTATTTTAACTTTGTTAGACACATGGGTTGTCTCAAGGTCACTTCGGCGCCGCTCAAAGATCGTTTATAAAGTATGGTCTCAACGAGAAATATTATTATACACAACATGATAAGACAGCTACTTACTTCAAGATTTTTGAGGGAGAATACCCTTGATACTAGAGGAATTCCGAACGCCAAAGTCTTCCCACTTCCCTAAAAGAGGAAGTTAATAAAAACTGCGTAAACATCGTATACTGTTGGTGCTGATCCAAGAACATCGGAGAAACTGTGGAGTGCAGGAGGTATGGCTGCAGTTTGTATAGGTGTAGGATGTTCTAAGCCACAATCACTGATTGCCTTCACAATATAATCTGGGAGATTAAGAGAATCCCAACCCATCACTGTAACACGACAACCTTGAGAATTCGAAAATCTGCGGTTATCCTATATGGTTCAAATAATTCAAGTGTTTTTAGACGAATAGAAGAGACTTTTGCTTAATGGGCCTACATATATATTAACAGTGAGTCAAAGATACCTCTTTGTAGGAATCTAGGTATATAATCGATGAAAGAGGAAAAGAAAAAACGTAAGTAAATCATAGTAAGATACTGTCCTTAGTCCTTAAGAATATGTCGTTTTCTCTCGATGTACTACTGGAAAGTAGCTTGCACTAGCTCACCCAGTAGAGTATTCCTGAATCTGATGAATCTTGAGGAGTAAAAGGTGTGTATACACTCCGTTCTGTTGTGTTGTGTCTCCAGTTTCTGGGTGTAACCCCTAAAATTTGTATTGAGGCTAAACTTAAGTAGGTGTTTAAATTGGTGGCCAGAAGTGTTAAGGATGCCTTACGTCACTGCGAGTTCAAAACAGACGCCTATTCTCAGTGATTGAACGTGCCATTCATAACACTTGAGTTTGAGTCCTTGAGCCGATTTCGTGACTCATCGTTAGATACGTTCCACAGTGTCATTATTCTTATGAAGTAAGAATGAGTAGCAGATGGCTGCGAAAGAGGAAGAGTGTGAAGAAATTAAGACAGAAGGAAGAGGAAAGGAACTTAATAATAACACTCGCTACAAGAATACAAGTAATCTGTAGTCCCGAAGTCATAGATGAAGAATAGAGCCTTTTGAAGAAGATACTTATCAAAAACGGATATCCTTCGATATTCATTGATAAGAACATGGAACCGGAAACGCCGAGAACGCAAACAATTGCAGTAGAAAAAGGAACATTATACATGAAAATCGACTTTAACGGTGACAGAGCTGCATATATCCTAAAGAGGAGAATTTCTGATTCTTTAAAAAGAACATTCTTCTCAGCAACATTTCGAATAGTATCATCGTTCGCCAATAATTCTAAAGATAAATTATCGCATCTGACCAACTCAATGTGCATGTAGGGCCAGTGAAATGTCACTGAGCCCTAGCCAAATCATCCGGCAGTTGGATCACTGAATGTCGAACAGATCATCGCTCCCTGCCAAGCTCATGTACAAGCAACGCGCATTAGTTAATCATACGCCATGGACTGGCCCATGCGGCAGTGGTCTTACTTTCTCTTGTATCTACCTTAACTAATATATTTCTGTAATAGCGTCCTCTGTGTTGTACAGTCTTCAAAGCAACTATGGTACCTTGATACGTCAATCGGGGTAGTCCACGTAAGGTGCTGACCACAAGGTGTGACTTCGACATTAGCTAGTTTGTCACACCATTCATGTCTAACTGGAGTAGGCCTCCAATCATTTCGACATAGATCATCTACGTTGGTGATCTACATGCATTTATCAATTAACCTGCTCATGTGGAGCTAGGGTAGGGAAATCTTTCGACGCGTACTTTATCCAAAAGAAATATCTGGCTTGGCTGAAAAGAGGAGGAAATGTCTCAATAGAAGCTCAATAATCGAACACCTTGTGAATACATGTCATTCAATCAAGACAGACTCTGTGTTCAAAATCACCTACAAAGTAAGTAGAAGTCTTCCAAAGACAATTAGATTGCATCTTCTTTGTATTGCAGAAGCAATAAACATACATATGGAAGAACCAGAATTGTGTGTGCAAAAGACATTGGTACAACCTCTTCTTCTACCATGAACTTATATTTTTTCTGTTTTCTACGTTCGTTCTTTCTTCCTTTCTTCATACTCTTCCTCCTTCGCAGCCATCTGCTTCAACACCCATCTTCCCCTAAATCCTCTACCCTAACTGGTATATTTCTGTTTCTACGATCATCCTGATTACATTTAATCTCAATTTCAACGATTTATCTTATCATGCTGAACCATCCTTTACCAAGGATAATTCCCCTGCCTATTTTTTGATGAATACTTAAGCCATTAACAGTCAAATGGTTCTTAAAATTTCCTTCTTTAAACATTTTTCAATACCTTTGTTTATTTTGCCTCACTGTCACCATGTCTAACAGAACTTTATTATCAGTATTATAATTATTACCATCCTGTAAAATAAGCATATATAGTTGCGGCTGTACAGCTTTAAAAATGAGTCCACCGAAAAGAAAACTCTTCGCTGAACTAATCTTTCTTAGTAATGAAATTGCAGTAATATCTAATGTGTTTATGAAGATCTAGTACAAATCAGATTATTTGCTTTGGCTTGATTCTTAGTGTTTCGGCCTGGTGTTGAGTCTCTAGTATCATCGAAGGAAGGTGATTTAGCCATTCCATTAATCGCACACAAAGCAACTTGAGAAGTTAGACTTTTTCACGCTGACTTGCCATGGAGTGGGAAGTAATTTGATCTTGATGCACAGAATAATAAGAATTGATTATGAACATATTATATCTTCACTGTTCGTTCAATTTAGGTCAGAACAACTCAGTGGACATAACAGGCATGTACGAAAGCCAATAAAGAACAAAATATTCTTGATATTCAAGTTTTCACAGCCAGTCATCAACCACTAGATACTGATACTCGACGCATTGGTGTCCGGATCATCAACTGACTCATTCAGGAGAACACCTGACACTCAAAAACCTGCTAGAGAAGGACTAATACAGGACGTGGGCAACGGAATATAAGTGGCATTTTCAGTCACATATGATATGAAAACCCACCTAGATTGGTAGGACAACAGTAGGAAAGCCCAAACACACACCTTGATGTCAGCTGACCTCAGCCAACAATCTATTATGAAGGGCATAGTTACGGTGATCCTGCCAGGGGATACTCCGTAAAGGCAAATCGCTCGGAAGCAAGAACCAAATTGTGGACTTATATCTGCCTAAAATGCCGAAGACGGATGACTCCGTTAATGAGAACCAAATGATCAAACTTACCAACAAATGTCTCTAAGGCAGTGTGTTAATAATAAGGCGTAATCTAGAAGTCAGTAACATGTGCTATCCACCGAAATCAAGGATGACGAATTACCAAGGTGACAGGATCATTCTGAGGGGCTTCAATGACCATGCCACAATGTCCTTGATAGGAGTGTACGGTAACCTCTCAGTTACTAGCACAAAATTTGTTTACTTAGAATTCGAAGTTTTCTCTTTATTATTGTTCACATTGCAATCAATCAACCTCCTCTTGGATTCTAGTATCCAGAAATCCTACTTTTCTGCAGCAAACACGCTCATTCAACTGCAAGATATATAAATCCATAAACAAATTCCAAAATAACTAGTATTAGTGCATTAAAGTGGCTAGACTACCACTCATTGAACACAACAAAATACCCGGAACTGTACTTTCATAATGAGAAGCGAGAGGGAAAAAGTAATCCGTTTATACTAGTTTGTGACAAAGACAATGAACGATGGATTTTCGATGGTGAGTCTGAAGTGATCTGACACACCAAACGGTAAACTATGAGCCTGTTCCTTTCTATAACACCATACATATGTCGTTTATACATTACTATATCACTTTCGTGTCCTCAGATTTTCCCGCATATTTACACATCTTATTCTTATTTTTCTGGGATACGCAACCAAACTGTTACAATTCAATACTCTCATGCTCCTAACCTTGCAATCTCATGCCATTCTGACCTGATAATACTGAAGTCTGATTCTGTTGTGAAGAAGTTAAAACATAACAGCACGAAGTCAACAGTTCCTTTATGCCTATTATGTATGTATGTATGTATGTATGTATGTATGTATGTATGTAGGCGACAGCAAATCTACCGATGAACCTCATCGAGTTCCGTCGTGGCAGACGTTTCTATAACAATCATTAGTGTAGACCTTCTGCAACTCCACGAACTGCTCATCAAATCAGAGAAACAGAGGTGAGAAAATTAATTTTCTTGTCGCATGTTATGTCAACAGACATTTTCCCGTATAGATAGAGTACATGATTGATATATTGAGTTGGACATTCAGCGTACACGACTGTATTTAAAGATCTGGGTTGTAGTTGTGCTTATAGTCTTGACCAAATAAGTAGCTACTGGTCCGTTGCTCGTTCCATGTACTCGACCTGATGAATCTCAATTAACCAATAAGACACATCTATGTATCATTTGTTCACATGAAACTCCCATGCACAAAATGTCGCACAGTTTCCTGGTCAGGTCACTCACATTTACATCTTCCATTCAGTTTCATCATCGACCACGTTTACCACGATAAAATAACTTTTTTAAATGAACAGATGTTGAATGGGTATCCAAGTGCTCACATTCTCTTCCTCTCAACTCCTCACACTTTGTCTCACAAAACGAGAAAATGTGGGGTAATTCATATTTCCTGTGTTGTTGCATTGATAGGAGCAAAGAAAACTTAATTGTTTGAGATTTGAAACACTGTGAGAAAATTCAGCTACATTCAACTGAGTGCTTGAAATAGTGTATTCTCTGATTTGTAAACATCTGTATGAGGACTAGTGCGTGAAAAGTATAAATGAATTCAAATTGAAGAGAAAATGCACACAACAGATATCGATACTGATGAAGCAACTTATCTAGATAGTGTTTACGTTGCTCGTCCATTGTACTCCCTCTCTGTTTTTCATATATGTTGTGAATGAAGTACTGAAAGTTGTAAATATAGTGAGTTTCTGTAGCAAACCACTATTTACTCTATCTAAACATAACGACGCCACAGAAAAAATACAGTATCCTGTATTAAGAATTAGTAAACGACAAAAAAGTGTGTAAGATGCAGTAGACTGAGTGAAACGCGCTCATACATCTATTCGTTCAAAGTGAACAGCTGCAGTGGACAACACATTACATTGATTAGGTTGAAAATTGCGCAGTCACACACCAAACTAATTTATTTAAGTGCTGAAAATCAAGTTTAACTCATTATCTAGACAAACATTAGTCTTATGTTCCGTAGCAGATATAGGCCAGCATTATGCTTGCGAAGGCCATATATATTGTTAGGTTGCCAACTTATCTAATCAATGTTACAGGCAATATAGATAGTACCTATTATAGTAACTA